GTCTTGGCTTTCTTAAAAATTGATGGCTATTAAATATTAATTTTTTGAAAAAAAGTTATTTGCAAGTAGCAGCCTCTCAAGTATTTTATAAGTAATACATCTTATATAGTCAAAGAACTATCCACGTTTATATAAAGCAAAAAGAGTTATCCACGTGAAATATATTACTTTTAAGCAAAGTTGATTTCAATATTGGGTTGTTAGCTGTTGGGAACTAAGAAATATACACTTAGTAATGATAATGAAGAGAATCTTTTATATACTAAGTAAGGATACATATAAAATAGGAAATGGTAGTTTCATTGCAAAAAGCTAAAAGAAAAAGTGGAGAGTTAGACTGAATTAATAATATGGCATTAAATTTATGTTTTCTAGCACATGTGGTATTAATTAATTAAATATGTTAAAGCCAGATCAAATAGGAAAAGAAGATAGTATGATAAATGATACATTTTGGGGCTTTGAGGTTTTCATTATACTTTTTTTTAAATTACGGTTAAATTTCTATCTAATCTCTTGTGAAAATAAAATTCAAGGAAAAAAATAAAAATTTAAAGGCAGACTTAGCAGATAGAATATTTGGAAATTTGGTAATCTTGCACGCATGATCAGCCTACTTGTTAGTATAGTATGTCAAATCGAAGACAATCTATTTTTTTTATATATATTACTTAAATATAATATGCATGAAAACAAACCTGTTATTGCTTTTCTTTGATTTGTTCAACCATGGCAGCCAGTGATAATGTTTCTTACTTCTAAAAGAAATCTATTGCTATGGCTTTCAACTTGCTTTTAAGTAGTACTAATATATCTCAGCTTTCTCTTTATTGTTATGTTATTATTTACATATCCCAAACCTGCCAAGGTAATTGTTTAGTGCCTTGATAATATCCTAATCATTTTGTTTATTTTAGAAATTAAATAGGAATGGTAGAGTCAGTGCGGAAGTCAAGCAAAGAAAGTGGAGTGCAAAAGGGGTATACTTTGTCTTTTGTTAAAGCAAAAAGAATAGTAAAAGAATGCCTAGGGACGACAAGGAGGATTAGTTTGACCAGAGACGGAAGTCCTATGCCCGGCATTGGAAACGTTTTCCCACGAATATATAACAACTAGTTTTCTCATATTCTCGGGGAAAATCTCCCATGAGGGTGAGCCCATGACAAGCTTACTGAGACGCCTTTCGGCGAGTCAAGACAGAGACCCAAAAGCAAAGGCTGCTAGGATCAACACATTCAAACCTGTAGCAACGCTCCTAGGTGTTCTCCGTTTTGGATAGGTATTGTCAACCGAACCGAGGGTTAAGCATTGGTTTTCACATGGTAGAGTTTGGGATTTGATTATCCTAGTGACAATTGATCAGCCGCCAATTATGAAGTCACGTTGGGAGTTTTCAAAGAAAGTCTAATGAAGGGGAACGCTGTCTTTTCATTGTAGTAGAGTGAAAGCGGAAAACTCTCATGATCTACTCCTACAGTTTTGTTCTATCGGCTTCCCAATCTCTCCAGCTTTTGGATGCTGGATCAAAATAAGCAAGCGTAGACTCGCGCAATGTATGTCAAGAACCTGGTTTTTGTTCTGTGTCTTATTGTTTCAGGCATTGGGCTTACCACTGCCCAAACTTGTCTTGAAACCGGCAACTTCACCACTAATAGTACATACGGTAGAAACCGTGATCTCATCCTCACTTCTCTCCCAACTAATGTCTTGGAAAAAGGTGGTTTCTTCAATGCCACCATTGGCCAAGAACCCAATAAAGTTTACGCTCAAGCACTTTGCAGAGGGGACTTATCTGCAGAAGATTGTCTTACCTATGTCAATTTTACAGCCCAACAACTTATAACAAACTGTACAAACCAGAAGGAAGGATTTTCATGGGATGGTGATATTCCATGCTTAGTGCGCTATTCAAACCAATCCTTTTTTGGGGTTCTGGCACTGGATCCGATACAAGAGGCAATTAACCCGAATGACATTAATGACGCCGCATCGAATATAACACAATTTTTTCAGGTTTGGGGTGAATTAATGGAAGCCGTCGCTACAAAAGCTTCCATGGGTTCTTCAAGGCTCAAGTATGCAACTGGGGTGGCTGATGAGATACAGGCACTAATGCAGTGCACTCCAGATTTGTCCCAGAGTGATTGCTTAACTTGTCTAAGGACATTGGTCCGCCGGTACACAGCATGTTGCCGCACTTATCAAGGAGGTTATGTCGAGACACCGAGCTGCCGTATGCGTTGGGATTTGTATACCTTCTTTGCACCTACTACTGACACTGTGCGCATATCTCTTTCGCCTCCACCTAGTAACTCTCCTCCAGATTCAACTAAGAATACAACAGCAACAATAAAAGGTAAGCTCTAATCGCATGGCCCCTAGACGAAATCACTTTCTACTGGATTTTTTCTCGATTTTACTGAACACATATCTTGCTCAAGCAGAAAATGGAGGTAATCAATCTCGAACTATTGTGATTATTGTTGTTCCAATCATTATTTTCATCGCAATGGTCGTCCTCATTTGCGTTCTTCTACGAAAGAGGAGAAAGTCAAAGAGACAGATGAAAAGTAAGTAATAGTTCATTCTCAATACATCACATATCTAGCTTTAGTCCACAAATCTTTGCAAGTGCTTGTTCTTTTGTTTTTCATGTATTAATTAACGTTGTTGTCAAGCCACAGGCGATGATGACGGCTTGGAATCATTACAATTTGACTTCAAAGCGGTAAGAGAGGCAACAGACAATTTCTCCGAGAGTAACATGCTCGGACAAGGTGGATTTGGTGCTGTTTATAAGGTAAGTAGGCAATCAGAGATTGACTAGGCAGGGAATTGAAACCTTCAATTTGGAGTTTCCTCAATCATCTTTTTCAATTTAGAAAAACATTGGGTTGCGTTTAATATTTCTGATCTTTTCATGTTATTATTTTTCATTTTGGTTAAAATGATTTCAGGGTAGGCTTCAGGACGGACGAGAGATAGCTGTAAAGAGGCTACATTATGAATCTGGACAAGGAAAAATGGAATTTAAAAATGAAGTTCTGTTAATGGCAGGGCTTCAGCACAGGAATTTGGTTAGGCTCCAAGGCTTTTGCTTGGAAAGAAGAGAAAGGCTTCTTATATTTGAGTTTATGCCAAACTCAAGCCTGGACCAGTTCCTATTCGGTACTTCTGCAATTCATATCAGTTCAAGAATTAAATTCTGATCGTTTTTTCTAAGCCTAGACCATGAAGAATAAAAATAACAAACCTGTAATCTTCATGGCTTTGTAGATCCAGTCAAACCACGATTAGATTGGGACAGAAGATTCAAAATCATAGCAGGAATTGCTCGGGGATTACTTTACCTTCATGAAGATTCTCAATATCGAATCATTCATCGTGACCTGAAGGCTGCAAATATTCTGTTAGATGCAGAGATGAATCCTAAAATTTCTGATTTTGGAATGGCAAGATTGTTTGCAGCGGATCAAACTAGAGACAGGACAAGAAGAGTAGCAGGAACTTTGTAAGTACATTACTACCTTGGAATAGGCATATGGTTATGATTTATAATTGTAGGTGTAAACCATAAGAAATTTAGGCAATTTAGCAGTCACTGATCAGAGTTCATTTCATTTATATTCATTAATTTTATCTATATATTGCATCCAGTGGATATATGGCTCCCGAATACGTAAAGCATGGAAAATTTTCACTCGAGTCTGATGTTTATAGCTTTGGTGTGTTGATCCTGGAAATCATTTGTGGTGACAAAATCTGCAATTTTCGTAAGGATGGTGTGGATCTTCTAACCTATGTAAGTGCAAAAAGACTTAAGTACAATTTCATTTCCCTTGTGTGTATGTTGCTGCTCTCTCCTTAACTGTTGAAAAATTTGCAGGCTTGGAGAAATTGGAGGGAAGGGAGAGCTTTAAATCTAGTGGAACCTTTTTTGAGGGATGGTTCTGGCTCAAGAAGTGAAATGACAAGATGCATCCATATCGGATTGCTTTGTGTTCAAGAAAATTACGCTAGTAGGCCAACCATGAACTCTGTTGTTCTGATGCTCAGTGATAGTTCCATGTCAATTCCAATGCCCTCCACACCTGCCTTTATGCTCTCAGCCTCTACCGTGCAGTCAGAGGCATCATCATCATCAACAACAGATCATAATTCAGATCAATGCAGTAGAAATGAGGTTTCGATTACTACACTAGATCCTAGATGAAACATTAAGCATGGAGGATATATCTGAATTAGGTCTATCCCCATGAACATCTCTTTCACTTTCAATCAAGGATTTCTTTTTTTTACATAAAAAATTGTTGATGAACTTCTCGTTACTAAGATTTCAATCTCAAATCTTGGTTTCTGAATAATCAAGCCTTTTCCACTATTGATTGAGAAAAGAGTTGCTAACAAAGCAGACTTTTCTGTGTAACATTCCAGACTCCAATAAGCTTAACTTCATAATTCACATGCATAGAAAAAAAAGGAAGGTAAAAGCTACCTTGGGTATGTTTCAGAAATGGAGGTTTCATTTATAGACGATGGCATTGAGAGGAAGGGAGATTGACTTGGGGGAATACTGATTTCGTCTTTATAGCGAAAGAAAGACGCTGGCCGCTGAGGTGCCTCTAAGGTAAGAATTTGACTGTTAAGCATAAGCACGATTGTAGTCATGGTGGGTCTCTTAGCAGGATCTTCTTGAACGCATAACAAGCCAATCTGCATACATCTGATAACTTCATCTTCCAAATAAGATTCTCTCAACGTTGAATCCAACAATTCCAAGGCTGTTCCGTCACTCCACACCTTCCAGCTCTGCAACAACTCGTACATGTTCACAATTTTAATTTGCAATTCATTTTTCCGAAATCGAATTTGAGTGATTATTCATTTTTACTCACATAGCTTAACAGGTCCTCAAAGCCATCTACTTGATGAAAACTGTTGTTCTTCTTGCCACTGATAATCTCAAGAACGGACACTCCAAAGCTATACACATCGGATTTCACTGAAAATTGTCCATGCATTGCGTATTCTGGAGACATATAGCCACTACAAGCTAACAATGTTAATACAATAGATTTAGGAAAACAAAAAAAAAGACATAATAAATATGCAGATGCAAATGCATAGAAAAGATTTCATAACTTACTATGTCCCAACTATTCTACTAGTATTGCCTTGGTGTTCATCAACTCCGAAAATTCTTGCCATACCAAAATCAGAAATTTTCGAATTCATCTCTCTGTCCAATAATACATTGCTAACTTTAAGATCACGATGTATGATTCTGGGTTGAGAATCTTCATGGAGATAAAGCAACCCTCTAGCTATTCCTTTAATAATATTGTAGCGAGTTGGCCAATCCAATTCTCTTCGTTTTTGGGTGCCTAGCATACATAAGAATCATAAACTCCAGTAAATTATCAAACTATTTGATCAATTAGAAGTGTATTGCAGAATGCATTCTATTTCTACTTTTAATGGGGTAAAATCTTATGAATTCCTAATGGATAAGACAGCACAGAAAGAAGAAAAGTTGACATGTGCCATTACCAAATAGGAAACAGTCAAGGCTCTTGTTGGGCACAAATTCATAAATGAGCAACTTTTCGTCTCCTTCCAAGCAAAAGCCCAAGAGCCTAACAAGATTTCTATGCTGAAGCTTGGCTACCACTGCAACCTCATTCTTAAACTCCTTTTCACCTTGCCCAGATCTTCCTGATAGCCTCTTCACAGCAATTTCTTGTCCACTAGGAAGGATGCCCTGATAATTTTAAAAATTTTCAATGAGTTATTAAATCTTAAAAATCTCTACTCCTTGAACATAATTTGAATTGTTAATTCCCTTCATATCATGGGGAGTTTGGGGGGAGAGGGATAATGTAGGTTGGAGTTGGACCTAGAATTGGCTGCCCCTAAGCAGAGTTGTAATTGGCTAAATTGATTGTCCCTAATCCGACAGGCAAACAGATATGGATGGTGCATGAAGACTTGGTATTAATTACTAATTTCCTACCTTGTAAACCTGACCAAATCCACCTTCACCTAGCTTGTTAACATGAGAGAACTTGTTTGTGGCGGCTGCAATTGTCCCGAAATCAAATTGCAAGGACTCTACGGTTGTAATATCATTTGCAGCTGAGCAACAAAACAGAGTATTAATCTGTAGTTAAGATTGAAAACTGTATAACACATTTTTCTGCTTTTTCTTTCTCTGATGATTTACCTCTTTGTTCTTCCATGGCACGTTGATTCTTTTTTCTTTTCCAGGTTAGGGACCAGAACGCAGCGATTAAAAGCACAACAAAGGCCACAGTCGCGGTAACAATGCCGATTATCTTCCCTGGTGGTAGGTTCCTTTTCCCTGCGTAACACACCGTAAAACAAACCCTTTCAAGTATAAAGATGGTTTGGGGGGCATGGGCCCTTGTTGCTAGGTGTTGAGGCTGAGGAGGGTAAAGAAATGTGATAGTACATCACTGATTAAACATATTACCATCAACTTTACCTTTGGAGCCCGGTCCTGGAGGCGAGGTAGGCGACGCTGCCACAGTGTAAAATGGGTACAATTCATACCTAAAGTTACAGCTTGGAAATATAACTCTGCCTCCTTCCTTGACCCCGCTATTACCCGGAATAAAATAAGCAAATGCTGCTTCAAGACATTTATTACAATCTGCCACAGATAAGTCTTGCGTGCATTGCCCAAGTGCGTATATCGTTTGATTACTCGTGAAGGGTGATTCTACGGTGGCAAACCTTCTACCAGATCGATCATTTGCAATCTTTGCAGTTACGTTGCGAGTCGTCCTTCCTAGCACTTCAAGGAATTGCTTTTGTTGCGAAATATTTAGGCTGTTCACCAGTTGCAAAGAAGGTTTCAGTTCCAATTTGCCAAAGAAATTCTGATTCGAGTAACGTAACATGCATTCCTCGTAGATAATTATGGCCGCTTTGTCCGCGGGGCAAAGTTGAACTATGTCCTTGGTAGCCGTCTCGACACAGTCTCGACAGAGGTCGTCGGTGGCATCACCACGGCAAACAAAGAGGCCATAAACAATGTTTTCAGGGTCACTGCCAACTGTGAGGTTGTAGAATCTGTTGTCACGGGTCGAATTAGAGGAAAGAGATGAGAGAAGGAGATTGAGACTTCGCTGAAAAGTACCATTAGTACTGAAACTAGTTGTATTTGTACAGTCATGATATAAGAAAATAGGCGCACCTCGACAGGTGAGGATGAGCTTAAGCAAGCTTAGCCAGAAGTAAATCACAAAGGTCTTGGAGATGTTAAAGGAAAGCATGGTGATAATCAGCTTTTCCTCTGATTTTGGTATCATCAGGAAAGGGTTTTTAAAAACGAGCAATTCTCTTGTGTGATTCTAGTTCTTTTTCTTCCTTGCGAGGTTCCAAATGAAACTCAGGCGATGATCAGGGAGAGTCAGGAAGCCACCAGGATTGTTGAGATATGTAGTGAAACCTAGCTCCCCTTTAACAGAAAAAATTTTGGTTCAGAAGATGGAGCAACCATCAATTTTGACGGAAACTAGGGGCCAGTTGACGCCATTCATTGCAGAAGTCTTTGAGCTTTATTTCTTTTCATTTTTCTTTTGTTTTTCATTTTCCAACAATACAAGTGGTGAAAAGTCGACCAAACGCTACTGGAGTGCGGGTGGATAATTAAAGCGAGAGGAGGAAAATAAGCCGAGTTGATTTCTTTATCTCTTCAAGGCCCGCAGGTACATAAAGCAGGGCTGTCAGCTCTTTAAAATTCCACTGCTTTACGCTCCTCCAGGTTCAAAGTTAACCAGATGGGTTTGCGACTGTAATCTTGTTGATAGTCTTATCAATGTTTAACTGTCCCTTCCAATAAGTTCCTGGGTCGGTCTAATTAGCTCTAAGCTGGTCTTCGGATAGTGTTATTCTTCTCTCTAATCGATCAGGTGATGAACAGAGATTTCCACACAAAGTAACAAACACGGAAGGCCCAGCGGGGTTAACATAAACACTGCGTGCACGATGAAGTCTACAGAAAACTATTGAAAGATATCCAAACTAATATTACAACATTCGCTTCGTTCTTTTGCAAGTTCCAACACATTACAAAAGCTGGAATGGACCTCTACTGACCCATAAGATGTGGCCAATATTTCATAAGCCAAAGATTTTCTTGAGATATATTCTTCCCTTCCACGCTTACCAATAGAAAGTGTTATATAGTTTATAGTCATATTTTTCATACTAAAAACTAATTAATTATGGTAACTAGATGTTTCGTCGGGTCAAGAGGCAAGGATTGACAGAGATGGGACTTTTATTAAAATGTTATTTCCGACGTACCCTGGATCATAGCAAGCCAGAGGATAAATTTTCTTAAGTAATGATTTTTTTATTGATTTATTTGGCAATATTATTGATTGAACTTAAGCCTAACTTTTGACTCCAATGGTTCATTCACCTTAAGGATATAATAACCTATAAAAATGCAATTTGAATCCTAATTTTATAGATAAAAAACAAAACTTAATAATTTCAAATCACGAATGTTGAAGATTTTTATATTTTAGTTCATATTTGATGGTAATTTCTATCCATTGAAGAAAAAAGATTGCATAAATATTGAAATCATTCACAACCTTACTTTTGACGAGATTGGGATTAAGATATGAAGGATTCTAGAATTATTAAAACAAAAACAAGAAAAAAAAAGAATTTAATTTTTTTAATAGCAATCTATGGGTTGGAGGTTGGTCAGCTCACCAGGCCTACAAGCCCATCCCACTTTAGGCCTATCTTGGGCTATGATTTGGGCTGTGACTTAGAAATGTTGCTAAATGGTATTGTCTAAACATGGCCGCCGTTGTAATCATGTTTATGCGTTCATATTTATATAACACTTACATGGAGTTAATGGAAGAAATAGTTTGTTCCAACTTGTTATCGAGGGTAAAATTCAGTGATGGATGCTTCATTTATTGATGAGCATTTTGACTTGCTTGTTGATTGATCAAACTCCAGCTCCACAATCGAGGTGCTTCCTGCTGTCTTTGGACCAAAAAAGAATGCTGGTTGTTGTGGTGGTGGTACAGAAACGGCGGAGCTGCTAAGCATAGGAACAATCTTTGCCATCACTGGCCTCGCATTTGGGTTTTGTTGGACACATAGCAAGCCAACCTGAATGCACCTAATTACTTCATCACTCACGTAAGAATCTTTTAAGGTTGGATCCATCGTCTCCAGCGGCGTCCCCTGCTTCCACCACCTCCAAGCCTTTATCGATCAAAACTATGTTAATTCTGCTGTCTTAAGAGGAGATAACATGAGCATCATCGAAAGAAACTTCATCTCCAACTTACATGGCTGAGAAGGTTCTCCGCACATTCAGAGTTAAAGAAACTAGTGTTTGTTTTGCCATGTACGATTTCCAGTGTCAATACACCGAAGCTATACACATCGGATTTGAAAGAGAATAGTCCATGCAGTGCGTATTCTGGAGATATGTAACCACTAAAATGTGGTATAGTTAGCATTTCGTCACTAATCTAATTAGTCAATTAAAGCTAGCTAAACATAGTTCATACTTCATCGGTTAGTAAAAGTAAAGGTTATGGGCAAACTTACTATGTACCAACAATCTTCTTGGTTTCTTCAAGGTTTTGATTTTCTTCAACAATTCTTGCCATGCCAAAATCTGATATTTTGGGATTCATATCCTCATCCAATAAGATATTGCTAGGTTTGAGATCACGATGCACAATCTTGAGCCTTGAATCTGTATGAAGATACAAAAGCCCCCGAGCAATTCCTTTGATTATCTTGAGACGTCTTGGCCAATCCAAATGTTTTTGCTTTTCAGGATCTGCACACATGATATGACCTCAAATCTAAGGAACTATACAGGAAAGGAGATTAAAACAGAAAACCCTTTTCTGTAATATAGAAAAACAATGGGTATGTCCATAGAAAAAATCAATTCAATCCAGAACATGTATGTGTATGTTTTTGGTGAAAACGAATGTTGAAGAGGGCTGACCAAATAGGAAGTAGTCCAGGCTTTTGTTGGGCACAAATTCATAGAGGAGCATCCTCTCTTCTCCTTCCGCGCAAAATCCCAACAGCCTCACGAGATTCCGGTGCTGAAGTTTGGCCACCAATACAACCTCATTCTTGAATTGTTCCGCACCTTGTTTAGAACTTCTTGATAGCCTCTTCACTGCTATTTCTTGACCATTTGCAAGTACACCCTGATTGAACAACATAGGCATTTGAGATGAATCTTTTCATTGATCAACTTCTAAAGCTTCATAACAGTCCAAACTGAACTGCTGCAAAACCAACAAACTAGACAAAGCTGCAGTGATGCTATTAAATTCTACCTTATACACACTGC